ATTTTATAAAAGTTTACAATTTTATTGGTTAATCAACACGTGATATTTATCATATGATTAATATTTAGAATTTTATTGGCTAAATCTAATATGCATGATCGGGATCATCATCTCCTAATTTGGGACGTTCCTACCTGTAAACAATATCTACATATAAAAACTACTAACTGCATCATGCTACGTAATGTTGCATTATGCGAAGCAAGGCCAAAAAACTTCATTCGCACATCTCTAGTAACGCGTACGTAACTGCGATAAATCTATATATTTTATTTTAGCATATACACGGCCATTGTATACATATCCGTAGCTAAAGTAAACTAGTTAGTTTTGGTGTAACTATACATACGTAAGTACCAAATTTCTTTCATGACATTCCTAATAAGGAAAAAGATCAATTTCTTCAAATGAGTTAAAAAGAGCACAGATGTGTGAAATATCCGAAAATGGCTCAACAAAGAATTCGGCGCATCTAATTTTCCTCTATAGCATAGACCATATATGGAATAGACCAACACGAAAGCAAAAAATAGAAATAAAAGAAAGAAAAAGAAAATATCAAATCAACTTTGGTGAACTAACTAAAATCATCATCAAAGAATATAGCTTTAAAACCAATAATTTTTAAATGCATCAATTTAGCCTAATCATTAACCTAAGACTATAATTTATATACATATAAGATCTTTTTGGTTTGTATCACCTGCAAAAGTAAACAAATCTCCTTACCAAAAATGCCTTAAATTGGTTCAATAAAATGATGTTAACGTTATCAGATACAAACAAATTATTCGCACAGAAATATAAACTAATAGAATCTTACTAGTAAAAAAAAAAAAAAAAAATCTAATAGATCCTACCAGTAAAAAAAAAAAAAAATCTATTCATCCAAATTCAAAAATGAGTCTTGACATTTTCAAAAGCCAATTGATGTCAAACTTGGATTACGAATGCCGAGTTAAAGTCAACCAAAGATGTTTGATCGATAAAATGTTGTCAAGGTAGATTTTAAGTTTTCTAACGGCATTAAATTTTTTCATAATAACTCTAACTAATATAAGCAAACATTTTCTTTTTTTTTTTTTAGACGATGCAACATCTTCATCTGTCGAAATAGTATTTGAGGGTACCATTGGTGAAGATTATTCAAGATTACTTTTTAGAAATAATGGAATGAATTTCCGGCAACAAGATTGGGACCGATTAAAGAAAATTGCTGAGGGAAATCCAGATGAGCAAAAGGTATTTACATTATTTCATGAATCACCATAAATCTCTATAATTCGTATCGACAATTTAAATCATTATTCCTTTTGTGATACAAGATCGGCGCTTTTGGTGTTGGATTTTATTCGATCTTCTCAATCTGTGAAGAACCATTGTAAGTTGTCTAATCACAGTATTGAATAAAAAAAGACCTGTCGTTTTATTAGTTTATAATAATATGATATTAAAATGTTAAACATTGAGGATAGCATATATACCATATGGAGCTGCATACAGTACCCATTCTTTTACAAGAAATCCAAGATAAATAAATGATACTATATGCAGTGCTGTACGGTATAGTTGACGGTAGAAATTACTGAACTGTAGTATTTAAGCCATATAACAAAAATTTTGATTGCAATTTATTATTTAAGAGCGCAATATATACAACTCAGCAATATATTACAGGCTATAATCATATGTTTAACGTATAGTAACATTTATTAACACTTTAAACTGCTATCACAGTGTATCTTCCGGCAATCTTGGAATGGCATTTTATTGGCAAGGTGATCAGTTGTATGTAAGACATGGTCCCATCAACAACAGTGATTCTACGTGGACTACATTCTTAATGGATATGAGAAATCCTTTGAAGGTATGAATAATTCTTTAATTTATTAAAAATTATATTAGAGACTAATTTGATTTCTTTATTTAAGCTTCCAGATTTTGACGAATTCAGTCGTTTTTTGGCAACTTCACTGGTAAACAAAAATTTTAATTCTCATGACATTCTCACGTTTATGACAATTCTCACATAATATTATCATTCATAATATTATCATTTAATTACAGGGATTCACCACAAATCTTCGAAAAATTTCAGTATATTTTAATGAAAATGAATTACTCTGTATTTCAAAAGAAACTATTAGTCGCCCTCGATCAATTAAAATCAGACCTGATATAAATAATGAATCTCCAGAAAAATTGTTTAAACTAGAATCAGTCAATATTCATACTGTTAAATTTGATGCTGTTATCACTCCTAAAACTGTATCATCCAATCATGAAGAAAAAAGGGTATCCGTATGTTTTCAAATTGCTAATGGAAATTTAAAAGTTCAGGTTCCGAGTAAATTTTCCGTTGAAATGGAAAGGTTAACAAAGAAAAAGCCTCCAAGTAAAACCACCATACAGGTTATTCTTCCCGTTTACGATGACTATGAATCTTCTGATGTGACTTTCGATATTTTCAAGGATTTATTGCCATTCCCTGGGCAAGGAAATATCTTTATTGGTTTTAGAACTCATCAGACAACCGGTTATTCCGTGAATTTGGCAGCTCGTGTCATACCAACTGTATGTACTGCAAAATTATTACTGTATTTTCATACATACTTAAAGTTTTTATAATTATTTTTTTTGTTTACAGGTTGAACGTGAATCGATTGACTTTGCTGAAAAAACACTTTCAACTTATAATAAAGAAATGTTATCTTCAGCTGGAACATTGTGCCGCTTGTTATATGAAGATGAGATGAACCAAATCTCACAACTATACCAACACATATCAGATGACAATCAACTAATGCTTGAAGATCGTTCAGCACGCGTTCTTAATCATTTCACCTTTAGGCAAAGCACTCCAGATTTCAAAGTAGGAAGCATAATCGAAACACAATTTTATAAATGTTGTTCATCACAACTGTCCTTATTATCTACTCATGGCGTCAAAGCCATTAATCTAATAAGACTACCTAGTCCAGAAATGACTGCATTTATCAAAACTATTCCAGTTGTTCCGAAAATACTGATGGATAAATGCGAATTATTTTTTCATAGAGCGAATATTATCTTGCATATTATTGAAAAAATTTCAATAAATGACATATTTGAAGAATTGAAAAATCGAACTCTGGATAAAGATGAGATGATTGCCTTGATGGAATGGTGGATAACCAAAATTTTTTCGATAACAGATCATGACAAATTCATCAAATTGGCCACTATCAACATTGAAAATAAGGTCTTACATTTGAAAAATATTCGTCATTTCCTAAACCCAGGTATTATAAATCCAGGTTTAGATGTTCCATCCGATGTACTGCCATATGCTATTAGTCAACATTTTAATAATAGATTAGATAAATTTAAGCAATCATTTAGGTAGGTATAGTACTATGTTAACTTTTTCCCTATTTATTTCAATCTCATGAGACAATTATATATTTGTCTTATTTAGAAATTGGACTGAGCTTTCATTGGTCACGTGGACGCGATATATTATTGAAAAATATGAATTAAAAAATAATCCAGCATTTGCTGAGGAATTTATAAATACTCTTTCACGTGGATTCAAAAATACAAAAAAGGATGATCAATCCACTTTATGTCAATTATTATCTCGAATTAAATGTATTCCTACACAATTTGGCGTGAAAAAACCTGCTAAAACATATTTTCCAGATGTAAAATTATTTTCGGATTTGCCCAATGTTAGCGTGAAAGGGGACGAGAAATTTTTCACAGAGTTAGGAATAAAGAAAGTAAGAATTATTTTATAATTTTTTTTATAAATTCACCATTATGCACTTATAAATATACAATTTAAAATACGGTAGTATGTGGAAATAGAAGTTGTGTTTGCTCGATTAATTAATAGTGAAAATTTGGATCACATGAAGCTTTTGAAATACTTTGCCAAGTTTGCGGAGGATCTTAAAGCTTCAGATATTGAAAAATTAAAACGGGCCACGATTTGGATAAAAGAACGTACTGGTAGTAATAATATTCAAAGATATTTAGCAAGAGATTTGTATACTCCATGCAATCAAAATAGAGAACTTAAATTACCAATAATACAATGGAAAGGGCATTGGAACAAAAATTCAAATGAAGGTAGGTGAACGGAAAATTTTCAATTACAGTAAGCATAATTTTAAAATTACTTTTAATTAACCAACATATAATTTATACTGTATGTTTTAGCTAAATTAATCATTGGGCTTGGACTACAAGAATATCCATCTCTCCAAACTATTCTTCAACTTGCAGAACAAAGCCAACCCTTCGAACTTCGTGAGAAAGCACTTAAATATTTTATCAAAAATTTCAAAGAAAAATATTCCGAAAAATATGAATCAAATTCTATCCAGATAAAATTTTTACCGTGTATCGATCCCAATATTTACGCGAAACCATCAGAGTGTTATTCAAGTCCTTATTGTGTGAAGATGGGATTTAATGCTTTGCGTCAAGATTTATGTTTTTGGGCTAAAGAAATTGGTATTAAAAATCATCCTGATAATAATTTGTTGCAGGATAAATTAATGAAAAATCCTCCAAACATTGATAATGCAAGTGAAATTTTCGAATACTTGTATTTTGCATCGCGTGGAAGTCATTCAAATTGGAAAGAACTTCAGAATATCGAGTTCATACCTATCCGAGAGAAAGTTTCGCCATATAAAGTTACTCATTACAAGCCGGAAGAATGTTATTTCAAAGTATTTGATGAAAGGTATGTAATAGTTTAAACATTTTCGTATAGAATCCATTTCGATTGCAATCTTTAAACTTGACGCGAATTCTATCATTAAGTTATGCGGATTTATTTAAATGTGTTGATTTTGGTGAAAATGCAAATAAATTTCTAAAAGATTGTGGTGTAAAACAAGAACCATCAGTGTTGGATTTAGCAGAATACCTTATTACGTCATCCAGGGAATTCTGGTCAAGGCATAATAATGAGAATTTATATAAAAAAATCTTGGGAACTATTGCGTACAACTATGAAGCATTGAATAGGATACAACCTGGAATACTTGATAGAATGAAACGATGTCCAATCTTGTTAGGTTTAAAGAAAAGAAATATTTCCGGAACAACAACAGAAGTTTATGAGTTAGTCTGCGCGAAAGATATTTTTATAAATGATAATGAAAGATATCGAAATATGTTTAATCCATTGATTTGCCCATTTACAGATCGTACAGAAAAATTTTATGAAGTATGTAACCTTCGATAATATATTAATCTTTATGAATAGACCTATAAAAAAATTCTATAAAAATTATAACATTACTTTTTTTTTCTTGTCAAGATATTGGGAAGTCAATCTCTTGATGCCAATATTATTGCAACACCTCGACATGCTGCTATGGAGATAACCTCAAGCATTTCTCGTAAAATAAAACAAAAAATTATGGAGAGAGTACCTTGGTACTACTCTGGTATTAAAGGTGGGGATCTGAAGAATGATATTTCATGGATAAAAAAATTACAAGTAAAACAAACTAGCCGAATTGACATGGACTATGAGCTTATTCCCAAACATGAAATAAAATCAGTTGAAGTCTCTGCTTGTGTTTCAGAGAATGGAAACAAATTAACTCTTTATATTACTAAAGAAGATTATACGGATATTGCAAATGCATTAATTCAACGTATTCATCGTCGGCCTGAAAGACAACATAGCACAAATTTGTTCCTCTATTTAACCTTTTCAATAGAAGAATTGCAACGACTTGGTTACCCTACTGAAAATATAAAGATTGATAATGTAATTATTGATGAATTACCTGAGGCAACACCAACAGTGCCAGTAAAAAAATTATCTACTACTGAATTCGAGAATATGTTAGATGAAGGGATTGCATCTTGTAAATCAAATCATAAACGATCAATCCCAGCAGACAATAATCCTGTGGAAAGTTTTGTTACTGAAGAAAAACATTACGGTAACATACACATTTCTATTATGTGATATTTGTAATATAATGATATATTATCTTTATTTATTTTAGTAACTTTAATTTTTTATGGATATAGAATCTCCTTTAAATTATGTTAAAACAGTAGATTCGATTGAACTTCATATTAAAGATACTTTAGATTCGTCTATTATTCTATCACCTACTATTGCCATGGATAGGAATATAAAAAATTTCATTAAAGTTCTTGTTAGCGTTTCTGAAATATTCAAACTTCCAAAAAGCAAAATTAACATATTTTACGATAACGATTCAACAAAGGTTGCTTTTAATCGTGATAAAACCTTGTTTTTCAACATACAATGTTACATAGAATCAGGACATTCTTTAAATACTGCAATTGTATCTTGGTTCATGACATTTTGTCATGAATTGGCACATAATTTCATTTCACCACATAATGCCGAATTTGTGGTGAGATTTATTTTGCTTTCTTCAAAATAACATTCTGCTAATTCCTTTTACTTTTATTGCTTTTTTCAAAATAACATTCTGCTAATTCCTTTGTTTTTTGTTCATCTTAAGTTTTACTTACAATCTTATGCAAAAAAATATTTTCCAAAATTGATAAATAAAATTGGAGCTCAGAATGCTAATTATGAAGATTTCTTTTCACCGGTAAGCAAAATTTTATAGTTATCCAACAAAGGGTTATATATAAATCTAACAACCATTTTACTTTCTTATCTATGAAAGATTTCTTTCAACAATTTATCATCTAATATTATTCATGATGCACATATGGCAGAAATTTCATCCTGGATTGATCGTAATCCTTCAACGTATGATGTTACAAGAATACCTTATAGGTTCAAATTACTTTTTAGAGGGACTAGAGATGGATTTACTTGTGAATCGTTTCATAGATTGTGTGATAATATATTTGGTACAGTGGCTATTATAAAGGTTAATGGCACAAATGAAATACTTGGTGGATATAATCCATTAGCCTGGTCATTTGATAATCCAATTAGATGGTTAAAAACAGCCGATAGTTTTATTTTTTCATTAAAAACGAAAAATTTACCAAACTCAATTCTTAGTAGAATTATTAATACAGATAATGTGATTGGATGTTTTTCTGAGAATGGACCAATTTTTGGCAATGGTTTCTTTATGCAAGGTAACAATAAGAGATGGTATTATAATGGCAATAGTGCAAATTATGAAAAACGACTTAAAGACACAAGTGGTGATCTTTTAATTGATGAATTTGAAGTGTTTCAAGTTCTAAAAAATTAATTTAAAGTGTTTCAAATTAATTCAAAATCTTAAATTACAGTTATATAATTAATTTTTATCTGAAGGCTGTTTAGATTTTTTTTTCCTACATATAATTTATAGCATTTATAAATAAAGATTTAATTTTTGCAATGTACATAAATGATTTAAAGAAAAAAAAAGAAATTTTTTAGAGTAACCAGATAAAAGGCAATTTAGTCAAAACATTCAAACCAAGTTATATTATAGGTTGTGATACTTTAAACAAATAACGTAAGAGGGCAGATAAATAATATCTCGGTTTACATATTTTCTGGTTTGTGTTAATGATAATTTGTGTTAATGATAATCTGCATTACCACTTGATCAACTGCTTAGACAGCTGATTAATTGGCAGATGAACTATAATTAAAATAGCCTAGAAGAAAACCTACTAAACTATGATAAGCCAGATATATGTAAATGAAGGGTTTTTTTATTTATGTTTACTGTAGACTAACAATTAACCCAAGTTATTCAGGCTGCAATGGTCAAGATCGTTAATACATCTTCCACAAATTATCCAGGTACAATTTATAGTTAGAAGATGCATAGTTATATATCACAATTTTGATTATGAGGATAAAAAAAATTTGATAACTACATGTAAATGATCAACAATGTCATAATTAGAAATTTTGTTATTTCACTCACATACAGCGAATGATGACATTAACTCTAATAAAAGAATTTTATGTTATTAATCGTATTCACAATATTTATGTTATATATTACAAGTCTATGTGATTTTTTAATGATAATTTTCACAGATAATTACATAATCTTGTGCAAAAAATATCAAGGCAAACAAAGATATAAAATATTGGATAAGAGAATAATTTGAGATATATAATTTGGACATGATTAATTACAGGATTTCAATAAAATTAACTGATGACATATTTCAGATTTTTTTAGTTTAGCACTATTTTTTAGCCAAACATACGTATTTTTGAACGGACACATCGTGACAGAAGAACAACTTGATTAACACAGCGTCGATCGTTAATATATACGTTACATGATTTTGCAAAAATTTAAAACTTACACAAAATGCCAAATCTCAATCTAAATATTTTATTTTATAAATAGAGAGAAAATTTAACTATATTTAGATTAAAATTGAATTAAGAATGTCTCAATGATTCAACAATATTATGTTATAGGCAACGTTATGATTGACAAACAAATGATGCCGAGTAATTTTATTAGAGGTTTTTTTTGAACCCTTTCCTGAAGGGACGCCAGTTGGCGAAATTTTATTAGAGGTTGGATTTAAGGTAATAGAAATAATAAAATAGATTTAATAAATTAATCCAAAAATAAAATCTTTTTCCAATAGTTAATATATAATTTGATTAATTTTGAGTCAATTTCTTGACAATTAGAAAGTGTAAAACTACGATT